CTTTTCTAACACCGACTGCAAAAAAAAAAAAGTCTATATTTACTTACCAGTGGGACAGAGGTCTCCAAAAATTGGTGACAGGGCTGGGAACAAGCCCTAGAGTCCCCATTCCCTTTCTCTTCTGTTGTCCAAGAATAATATTGGTTAATGCTAGTAACCCCATGTGGGAAAGTGCCTGTCAAATGGTCCCCTAAAGCACTGTAAAATAGTTCAGCTACAAACAAGGCCTTGGAGGTACTAGCTGAAGGACTGCTGAGAGATCCGGGGGCACTAACTTATGTGCTGAAAACATTAGCTTGGCACAGCTGTGGCATAAGCTATATACAAGGACGCTATTTATTTTAAATAAATATTAAGTGACATTCAGCAGGCGCCTCTGACTGCTGCATCCAGAGCTGGAGCCAAAATCCACTGTTAATGTGGACACCTTTTCAGTGACTGTGGCAGACCTCTATTCCCCAGACACCCGACAGCTTTCACAGCATGCCAGTCCCAACAGTCTGAAATACCAGGCATACTGTTCGTTAGCTTCTGGTGGTGAAGAACCACCCACCCTTTACATGGTTGGAGAACTTTAGTGTTTGTCCGTAAGCAAAAAGACTTTCTAAGAGCAGATGGCAGAGCAGTGGGTGGCAGTTCTGTGGTGGCAGGATGGCTGAACAGATAGCGCGCTGGACTGCGATTCAGGAGATGGGGAGTCTGCACTTGGATTGGTTGCAGAGGTCTTCTGGGGCCAGAGAAGAGTTCCTGAAGCTCTTCATGGTTCCCACGCTGGCATAGTTGCTTGTTTTGCATTTGCTCAGCACAATCAGTGCCTGGTGTAATGAGATGCCATATGGGAGTTTAGAGGTGCTGTTGTAATTGAACCATTACTGTTTACTTAAGCAACATGTATCTATATTACACTTTTGAAAAGTTTGTATTTTCCACCACAAGTACAAGCCTGGTTTGCCCACAAGTTTATGGATGCAATAACCTGATTGCTGCCTTTTTGGTGCCATCCCATTGGAGGTTATGGAGTTAACATAAGCATTTCTTTAATATATTAAAAAAAACACACACACAGCAAGCTGTCCCTCTTTCTCTTTTCCAGTGGTCCTTCCTACAGTGCCCAGCCTACAAAGGAAGGCATAGTTATTTGTACATGCCTTAAACTAAGAATTATTACACAAGTTATAGAGTGATTGTTTTCAAAGATCATACGGATTTGGAGATTGTAAAATGATTAATATAAATAAAATAAAAACTTAATTGCACATACTTGTATTTTGAGATGTAAATCTACAGGACAGAGAGTTATTTAATGTTGTTTTATGAGAGCTTTTTCAAAGTTAGTTTGAAACAGTTCGACATAACAGAGAAAGGCTATGTCTGATGTAGGAAAAGCTTGAGTCAAAGCCAGTTGAGGTTAGATGTTGTGGATTCCCACTGCCGGCAGTGAGCTTTGGATCAAGTGCAATACAAATAGAAAAAGGAATATGGAAGAAGATTAGGAAATCAATCAAGCAAACAAAAAAATCCCCACATATCAAACCAAACTGAACCTCTCGAGTTAATGGCTACCTACAAAATGTTATCAAAAAAGCAAATGCACATGAGTTAAATGCCTTAAAAAAAAAGAAACAAATAGCAGATGGAAGGTGAGCATTTTTATTTTTAATTGAAAACACATTTGGAAAAAATCAATGTTTTACAACATATCATTTCCTCTCCTTGATTGGCCTGTATCTACATACACAGGTGGATATTCCTGCATGGTGCTATCATTCCCAGCAGCGCAGCTATCCCAGGCCCTTTGAGAGCCAGATTGCAAGGGTCACTGAGAAACACAAGCAGATAAGTGCAAACCGCCGCACCGGGAATATTTCTTTGTCTTGGAAGCACTAAGCGGTCCTTTAAATCCTGAACTCCTGGAAACATTTGAAAGTCCAAGCAAAAGGGGGACACCCACATTTGCTAAAAGGTGTTCCCTGCTACCAAAGCTTGTACATTGGATTCTGATTCTCAGGTTTTGTGTTTAGCTTTTGCTCTGTACAATCATCCAGAGGAAAGTGAGAGAAAATAAGCAAGGGTAGGGAAGTGTAAGAAAGACTGTTACTCTATGAGCCTTAGGGTGAAAACAGAAGTATTGGCTTTAAACACTTGTTAAGAGCTAAGACGGTACAATGGAGGGGATGGGAGGAAAGCTGGGGTTATGGAGAAGCTAACTAAATCGCTGCCTGTGGACAGAAAGGCTCTGGGGTCTGCTGTCCAGAGCTACCTGAGCAAGCTGGCTTTGGCCAACTTCAGGAAAGCTGATCAAAGCCAAAGCCTTGAGTCCAAATCTTTTCAGCAGCAGCAGGCTTCCTATTCAAACTGTCATGTCAGAGCAGCTCTCCGCAGTGTGGCATGGTGCTAAAAGGTTATTTCCAGGCTGACATGTTCTTCCCAGAGCTGACTGCCAAAAGGGCATTTGTTTCTTTCTGTGCGAGTCTAGTCCATGCCACAACCAAATGGGATGTTTCCCATCCGTCCGTCTCCCGTCCGTCTCCCTGAGAGTCTCTTCTCTTCCCTTCTCACCAAGCTCTTATTATAGGCTGGTCTGATTCTCGTCTTTCTTTCATTATAGCAATGCTAAATCTTTTTTTTTATTATTTTTTTCCTTTTTTTCCTGCAGTGATTCATAGTAAATGTTGTTAAAGCCCCCACGGGATGCATACCTCTCCTCTACTTCTGTACTCATGCTTGGGAGAACATATCATCTCCCCAGAGCAGGCATGCTGTGATCTTTCTGATGCTGGTTGATAGCATGACTGAATTTAGTAGGATACCCCAAGTGCTCCTAGGGCTTCTTCCTCCTTGAAGAAGGAGGGGTTGCTGCAAGGCTAGCTGAATGTCTAATTGGTTTTTGCCTTCCCCTGAGCTACAGCATAGATCAGAATTAGCTGTTAGCCAGCCAGACGAGGCTGCAGTGCATGTGGCCCCAAAGGGATCACCCCAGTACCCCTGGGTGAGCAGGGCATTGCAGCCTGTTTTCATCCATACTCCTTGGGCAGCTGTCCCCTCAACCTATTTTGGGAACGGGCCTACGGCAAGTAGCACTGGTGCTGGGTATGGTGTCCTCACTCGGCCAGATTTGCTGGCTCACTGGTCCTGCTGGGGGTCCTGGAGCAACAAGGTATGTAGTCTCTTTTGCTTTAGGCCCAGCAATTTTGGCACACCCATGAGGCGCTGGCTTGGTTCAAGTGCCAACCTCTCTTGGGAGCTCCTTTAGGTCTTCTCTCCTTTAGGATGTGGGTGTTGTGAGGGACAAGAAGTTGATTATGAGCCAGCAATGTGCCCTTGTGGCATAGAAGGCCAATGGTATCCTGGGGTGCATTAGGCAGAGTGCTGCCAGCAGGTCGAGGGAGGTGATCATTCCCTTCTACTCAGCCTCGGGGAGGCCACCTCTGGAGTCCAGTGTCCAGTTCTGGGCTGTCCAGTAGAGGAGAAACATGGAGGCTACTAAGATGATGAAGGGACAGGAGCATCTCTCATATGAGGAAAGGCTGAGAGGGCAGGGCCTATTCAGCCTGGAGAAGGCTGGAGTGGGGAGGATCTTATCAATGTGTAGGCATTTTTTTCCCCCCCACAAAAAAGTATAGTCTGAAGGTCCGAATTAGCTGCACTGCAGGTAAGCGTTCTAACTATTAAAATACTGCCTCTCCAGTGAATACATTTTTCTCCATGCCTTCCCACAGCTGTTAACCAAAAGCTCTCTCCTGGACCTTGAAACTTCCTGGCAAAAGCTTCAGGAACACTGATGCATGTGACCGCTTTTTTTCTCTGCATAGCCCTCTTTTCAAACGAGAAGATTTTGAGTCCAAAACTTCTCTGTCCGTCTAAGCCTAGGACTCTTGGGAGAGAAAGTTCCTTTGGGACAGTGGGAAACTGCCTGTGGCTCTGACTTAGCCTCTCTGCGTGACCTGCTTGCTGGGGATGCTCCCAGCCTGTGGCACAAGCGGGAAGTCGGATGAGGCTGCGAGGTTTCACTCGTGAGTCAGCAGCTTGGCTGGGCCACGGGAGTCTGTCTGTCTGCATGTGTAATTCAAGCCCTCCCAGGCCACAAAGCGGTGTTGCTCATAATTATTCCCAGCTCCGCTCGTGTGCAGAGGGGCAGGCGCCTGGGAGCGAGGATGTGTGCTGGAGCATGGCCTCCTGCAGCTGCGGGCTCAGCAGCGGGGGAGGCCCCCGAGTTGGCTGTGAAAAGGGGACTTGACCCAGGGGCACCTCCAGCTGGAGTTTGCGTGTGGAAAAACTTGGCCGTCGAGGAGCTGGGGGCCTCAGTCACGCGGGCTGGGCAGTAAATGCTGGATCTGATTGCTGTTTACTGCTTTCATTTCCCTTTCTTCTCAGCTTCTGTCACGCACTCCTGGGGTGGCAGAGCTGGGGGTGGGGGTGAGGGAGTGAGAGGCATGGTGAGGATTTTGGAGAGCAAAGGGAGCCTTGTTGCATGTTTTTCTCATTGCCCTCGGGAGGCAACTAGGTATCACCAACCGATGCTGCACAGGAGCCAAGCGTGGGTGTCGGGACATGTGCATGCACCCATGGGACTGTGTGCATGTAGCATGGCAACGCTTGTCTCCACAGCAAGAGCTTGGATGGAGAGGCCACCACAGGGGAAAGGTGAAGCAGGGAGCTGCGGAGAGGCTGTAAGTGTGTGGAGGAAGGTCTTCAACTGCCTGTGGATGGAGTGATTTGCGCAGTTAATAATTACAGGGAAGTCAGCTACCTGGATCGCCTTTCTCAACAAGGGATCCCAACACAAAGGACCTAGCTCCTACTGCTTCTTTTCTAGTCAACCCCTTTTTTGCCCACATCTAATTGAACTACCTCTTACCTTTCAATACCTGCATTTTTTCATGGGTTGACCCTTCCAAAACATGCTTAGCTGTTTGTTGATACAGGGATTATTGACAGGCATAGGCAAGGTGTGGGTTGTTAAATGGTGCTAAAAGTTCTGTCTCTTTTTCTTCTCAAACCGTAGGGAGGCAGGGGAAGGCGAGTGGTTGGTTTTATCTGTCAGATCTATCTGGACATGGCAGGTCTCATTCTTCTCAGGAACAGTCATACTGCAGTAGTGGTCATTCCCTGCGAAGAAGAGAAATGTAGATTTAGAAAGTTGGGAGTTTTGAATTTAAAGACAAACACTAAAGGTTTGCAATTATCCAAACTTTGTAGCTATGAGGACTTGCAACAGGTAGAAGCTGAGATCTTATAACCACAAGCCTCTGGGAGCTGGGTCTCTAAGAAACCTTGGCTTAAATGTGGCAGGGGACAGAAATCGCCGAAGGTTGGTGCTTGTTCCTGTGATGGGTGTGAGCTGCTGGACCCTGTTCAGCCCCTGGTGAAGCAGAGTTTGTGAGGGAGGGTGGTGGGGACCCTGAGGCTGAGCTGGCTGGTCTTCATGAAGGAGGTGTGCTGAGTGATGGGACAGTGCTAGGCCATGTCCAGAAATTAGCCTGTCAACATCACATCTTTCCAGGGTTGTCCAGATGGCCTTAATTTGGTTGGGAATAATGCTGGTGATGATCTAGTGTACCCTGTGCAAACCCCAGCTGCGTGCCAGGCCCACGCTGCTGAACTATACATAACAAAGCATAATTTTGGCTCAGCCTTCACTCCCCGGAGGAGATTTAACATACCTCTCTCAAAAACTGTGGGATTTGATTTAGCCTATACACAGAAAATGAAAGTATCAAATTTAAGATACATATTTCAATCTATGTGACACATTGCTCACTAGTAGTCATCTTGTTTAAGGAGTTTTTTTCTCAGCCTCGCTGTAAAACAGATTAGAAGCCACTTTTTTCTAATTGTTTACCCCCAAAATGCAAGCCTTAGGCGCAATTCATGCTTGTGTTTCACCAGCATAATTCTCAGTAACAAATTGGACTTGGAGTTTACTAACCCAGTGAGGATAGAAATGTTGTTCACCTTAGTGCAAATCTTAATGAAAGCAATCATTTAAGAAATAGTCCTGTGCAGCACTGAAAACCTAAACAGAGGAGAGATGAAAAAGTGGCTTATGAAGCCAGGTGTGAAACAAGCCATTTCTGGAAGCTGAAGCCAATCCAGTCTTCTGGGGCAGCTCACACTGCCCAAGAGAAGGGATGTTTGAACCAATTGCATAGGTGGTGAGTGGCTTTGATTTAAATAATTGAATCTCTTCCTGCTAGTGGTACAGATTAATACCTGTGTTTGAACATATGGTATTTCTCTTGACCATATGCTTTCCAAGGGAAGTTAAAGACTGGAGTGTGGAAGACACTGTCTCCTAGGACATATGTGAGTGCGGAGTCACAGCAGAATTGCAGCTATCACCGTCACTTCCCTCCAGGTCATTTAGCTGAAGATCAGCACCAATGCCTGCAATATCGGATGGGGCTGAGGAGTAGAACAGGAAAATCTTGGACATGGAGCTTGTTTCATCCTGGCTCCCACAGCATGTGTGCTTGTTTCACCCTTGGGTCCCAGGCTGGCATCCGTCAAGAGGGAAATATGGTCTTTTCTGAGATGTTCCATGTTCTGGGATGTTTAATAGCTGGTTTGAATTTTTAAACCAGTGTCTGCTTCCTACAGGAACCTGAATTAAGGAACCTGAATGTAATTGTTATTTGGCTGGTTGCTGCTGCCCATAAATCAATCTCAAAAGAAACTATATATCCAAGGAAATTTTGGATCATTTATTAGCTGCCAAAAGTCCCTAGCAATGTCTCCACATAGTTGGAGCCTGGTCAGCTTATTTGGATAGGATTTTCTTAAAAATGAAGAGTAGGAGGAAAAGGTCAACAGTTCTACAGATTTTTCAGCCAAGATATGTGTCTCTCCCGCTGCCTGTCCCTCTCAAGCTTTTGGATATCTTCCCCCAGGTATGAAGGGGAGCTCAAGACCTCTTCTTCCCCTGCTCTCAGCCATGCTGTTACATGTATGAGGATTTCTTTCTCTCTGAGGAGAGGAGCTGATGATCGCACCCAGATACGTGTCCAAGCACAAGTCAGTGCCTTGGACACACAGTCCTCGCAGTGAGGAACTGCATCCCCAATCCCAAAGGCTGCATGTGCCTCAGACTTGCATATAAACTAAATTGGGCACCAAGAAACCTTGCTATTTTGGGCTAGAGCTTTGCCAACCTGTGACAGCACATTCCCCAGTTTATGCACTGTGTAATGAAGCATCTCTTTTGGCTTGTTTTGAACCTGTCTCCTGACTACCTTAAATGGAATCACAGAATCACAGAATCATTTAGGTTGGAAGGGACCTCTGGAGATCATCTCGTCCAACCTCCCTGTTCAAGCAGGGTCACCTAGAGCATATTGCCCAGGATCACATCCAGACGGGTTTTGAATATCTCTAGCGAAGGAGACTCCACCACTTCTCTGGGCAACCTGGTCCAATGCTCTGTCACCCTCACAGTGAAGAATTTTTTTCTCAGGTTCAGATGGAACTTCCTGTGGTTCAGTTTCTGCCCGTTGCCTCTTGTCCTGAGAGCTGAATCTTGAAGAGCTGGCTGCGAGATAAGAAGGATTACCTCCCAGCCCTTCTGCTGCTGCAAGAAGAGATGAGTTTGATTGCAGAACCTCACTCCAGGAGAGAGAGGTTGTTAATAGCCAATCTCCATCTCTTACTCTATTTTCCGCTAGATAGCTGTGTGGCTTACTGCTTGGTGACAGACTTCATTTGCAGGTGCTTGGTTTTGCCCATGCAGTAGGGGGCTTCCGGAGCGCACGTAGGCACTCTGTTAGATTTGTGAGGACAGGCAGGAGTCCCTCAAAATGGGCAGGGCAGCTGAATCGTTCATACTGCAAGGCTCTGTCCGAACAATTGGATACCATGAATTCAGCCTAAAGCTTTTCTGCAGCTGGAGGAATAAAGATCCCCCTTATATTGTGACTTATCCTGACTGCAAAGACTCAGAAAAGTGAAAAGCAGATCCAGTGTTCCCCCTGCAAGGTACTGCAAGTGGGATTTATCTTCTCACTGGGACTTTGAATTCTAGGTAGATCAAGAGCCAATATTGCTCGTAGCTGGAAGCAGAACCAGCGTTATGCTGAGCGAAGGATTCCCTGTCCTAGCTTTCACTCTCAGGTGTGTATGATGTATTTAGGGCACCTAGTGGTGAGAGTTGTCTATGTGCGTGCTCTGTGACCACACAAAAGCTGTTACAGAGATATGCGGGTAAATTTATTTAGGTAGATTAGTGCTATGAGCCCCACCGCAACTGATGAAATGAGGTTTGGAGAGGCTTTGGTACTTCTTGAAGAAGCTATAAAAGATGCTGGTTTAAGGTCTAATCTATTTACGCCACAAGCATTAAGCCTTAAGGTAGCATGCATTCTTTGCACCTTGGCAACAGTTGTGATCCTTCTGCTTGCTCTTCTAAAATGGTGCTCTAAATAAGTTTAAGATTGAATTAATTTAAAGGTCAATGTATGCCAAAATTTGGAAACATGTTAAGGTGACCTGGGAGCCCAGAATTCAGAGCCTCAAACAGGTAAATGCCTAATTCCTG